GCGTGGCTGAAGTGGGCTTCCGCAGTGCGGAATGTTGTTTAGTTGTCGTCGTCCCGCCCGCGACCCACCCGCGACCCACCCGCGACCCACCCACGAGACACCCGCGACCCGGCCCGCGACCCACCCGCGACCCATCCCGCGGCCCACCCCGCGACCCCCCGCGGACCCACCCGCGACCCATGTGCGACCCAACCCGCGACCCACCCGCGACCCGCCCGCGACCCACCCTCGACCCTCGGCGCGAGCCACCCTCGACCCACCCGCGACCCGGCCCGCGACCCATCCGCGACCCGCGCGCGACCCACGCGCGACCCACGCGCGACCGACCCGCGATCCAACCGCGACCCACCCGCGACCAACCCACAACCCACCCGCGACCCACCCCGCGACCCACCCGCGACCCACCCCGCGACCTTCCCCGCTCCCGCCTCCTCACTCTTATCCGCAGCTGCGGGGTGCTAGATTTATACATATAAGGCTACCAACTGCACAACACACTAGATTAACCACGATGTTGTGATGCAGGCACTCTGGCGAGGCGAGCAAAACGCCCGCCGCAAACCTCCAAGATCTCTAACAGGGAGCATAGCGGGCGACGAAGAACGTGACAAAGTTGAACACAAATTGTCGACCAGCACGACGAGCGCCAGAAACCACACGACACGGCACCAGTGATGTGGGCACCCGGGAGGCATGACAAGGTGCTCCCCGTAGCACTTCCCGTAGATGTCGACTGCACGGCCACAACTGCATGCGCGCCTGAGGGGCCCGCGATGCCATTCCAGTCGGTCCGCGGCCCCGCCGTCACCGCGACTCGCGGCGCTCCCGGCAGTGCTTCCATTTCGCCGAGGAGTTTTTCGCGTGTCGCGCTGCCCCCCCAGCCCGCCGCGGACGGAGGCTCCGCAAAAACCACACGCGGGAAGACTCGGAGTGTCGCCCATGACACGAGCGAAAACGAGAATGATGGCCTAGCTGTGGCGCCCGCGTGAGGTTTTAGTGTATGTATATATATGTGTATACATGAGGATCTGTATACATCCATACATAGCGTTTAACATGATACAAATAATTACAATGAAAGGCGTCCACGATGACTGGTACCTTTGCGGGGCAGTACGTCATGGAGGGTTTCATGGAGTGGCGGGTCCCCATGTGGGTGCGCACGCTGCTCACGCGGTCCATTGCGCTGGGGCCCGCTGTCGCCGTCGCCTTGCTCGCGTCTTCGACGCCAAACCTCAGCAACACTGCGAACGAGTGGCTGAACATCCTGCAGTCGGTGCAGCTGCCCTTCGCGCTGTTGCCAGTGCTCCACTTCAACGCGGACAGGAGACTGGGCCCTCGCGCACGACCGCCCAGCCGATCCTTTACCCCGGCCGTGGATCGTCGTTGCCCGGCGCTCACCTTCAATCGTGTTGGCCAGGGGGGAACAATTTCGGGGAAGGGGGAATTACGAATTCTGTTGCATTCAGGTTGTTTCGGGTCCGCCGATTGGGCATCTTCATTGGAACATAGGCGCCTCCCGGCGCCTGAAGGCGCCAGGAAAACCAGCTACGCCAGCCGATTTGCGACACCCCGTTTACTACTGGGATGTCCAGGTGGGTTACGAAGGGGATCGGGGGGGTGCAGTTGGACGGTAAGGTGTGGTTTTGTCAGGCGAAAAAGGAATCTTCAGTTGGTTACGAGTGCCCTGAGTGGCTACGGTGGGTTCGATACATTCGCTAAGTGGGCGCAGCCCATTTAGTCAAGATCATAAATCACTTAGGACACTTCTAGCCCACTTCTGTGTTTTGGCCATGTATCAGCCACCCGAGCATCCACGTGTGAACCCCTATCCCCTTGGCCCCCCCCGCGGTCATCCCAGTATCCCTCCCTTTCGCCAGACTTGGTCCACTACCGCCCATCCATCCCCTCGGCCACGGAACGTTGCCCAACGTCCGCCTACTATTCTAATTCCGTTATCAATCTGGGGGCGGTGGAGGGGGGGAAACGTCGTGGGGTGTGCCACGCCGCGGCGAAAATTATGCCAGGGTCCGTAGGGTCGTTGCTGATGTTGGTGATTGTGATGATATTGGTGACGATGGTGTTGAGGTCAAAGCGATGAGATTATGCTGACGACGATGGCATGATGAGAAGGGCTGTGCTGGGCGCGGATGGATATGATGAAGACGATGATGATAATGGCGATGTGATGGTGATGATGCTGATGTTGATGGTAATGATGATATAGATAATGATGATGAAGCTGATGATGCTGATGATGCGAATCGTGATGATGACGACGATGATGATGAGGACGATGATGCTGATGATGCTGCTGATGATGATGGTGATGATGGCGACAATGATGAACACGAGGAGGGCGACGAGGGTGGTGGTGACAAGATCACCCAAACTCCCAATGACGAAGATTCTGCGCTAAACTTATACATGGACGTGATGGCCCCCAGTGCGCCTGAGGCAGGATGCGCGGCGTACGAATGCACACAAACAGAAGCGCGTATTCCACGCGCGCGCAAGTGACATCAACATGCATTCACACGGACAGCAGTACCACAATGCCTTTCAAAGCATGTTCGAAAAACGTGGCGCAAATCATGTTGGTCAAAGCGTGTGATTGTTCCCTACGCGAGCAAATGTAAACAAGCGTGGGGCACGTGCCATGCGCGAGTGGGGCTGCTGCAGAATGGACGAACACGTCGATGATGCACATGCCGATAATCATGAACCGTCAGAACGATATGTATTCATAGGCGCCGGCGATAGAAGCCGGCATGTCGTGAGGGCCGGCGGCAAATATCTTTCGGAGCCCAACGCAGGCGAAAATCATGGTGGGGCCGAAAAATGCGCGCTATGAAATTTACACCATCCACGCTTAATAAGGGAGGCCACCCTCGGAGATTCCTCCTCCTCCTCCTCTTGCTCCTGCTCTTCCTCCCCTTTTCCTGCTCCTCCTCCTGCTCCTCCTCGTGGTCATTCTCGTAGTCGTCGTCGTCGTCGTCGTCGCGGCGGAGATTACTTTCCTCTATTGTTGGGCGGGCTGGATCAGTTGGGGGGATTCTTTCTCCCAGGGGATGAGCCAGCAAGGGCTACCCTACACGCGAGAAGATTTGTGAGCATCTCCTCATGAGGATTGCAATTGAAGTCAGCGGCTGTTGTTATAGTTGTGACTGTAGTCGTGGTTGCAATCGTGATTGCAATCGTGAATGTAGTCGCGATTGTAGTCGTAATCGTAGTCGTGGTTGTAATCGTAATCGTAGTTGTAATCGTAGTCGAGATCGTCGTCGGTTCCGTCGCGGCGGAGATTTATTTTCTCTCTATCATTGGGCGGGCTGGGTTCTTTTGTGGAGTTCTTTCTCCCTGGGAATTGTGCTCCCTGGGCGACCCTGCAATATCGATCTTCGCCGAAGGCGTTGCTCATAATCTCCTCCGTGTTCTCGCCGTCGTCGTCGTCGTCGTTTCTGTGTGGCGGGCGCCGCGGATAAGAAATTGTTGTCCACTTGGTGGGACCCCAGTCCGTCATCAAGGTCGCCGAAACTCTGAGATGTTTCCATTGCTGGGGGTTCTAAAGACCTATCTCGGCTTGGGCACACGCGCACTGAGGCGTTGTTGTGCATACCTTCAGTTGCTGCAGCATCTGTGGTGTACAAAGGCGCTCTGGCGAACACAATGGCTGTGGTGCGCACATGGCTGCCGGGGTGTACATAAAAGTTGTAATGTACGTTGTACACAGGCGTTTCGGTGCGGACATATTCCTTATGCAGCAGCGCCAGTGGTGCTCATTGGCATGGTTGTGCACGCAATCTCTGTTGTGTTAAGACATGGTTGTTCACACGCGCCCAGTGGTGTACACAGGTCTGTGGTGCACACATATATGCTACTGCAGCATCTCAGGCGTGCGCAAGCACTATTGTGTGTACAGGCGCTGAGGTGCACACAGGGAGTATGCCCTACACAGGCGTTGTGAGCCCAAGGCACAGTGGGGTCCGTGCATTGGGCCATACAGTTCCATTGCACAAAATAGCCAACATAATGACTTTGATACGTTCGGCTCCATACGACTTTCCGGATATTGGCTTCGTCGGTCCCCTGAAAGTGTACACAGGGCTTGTGGCGTACACTGGCACAATGGTGTACGTACAGGCGCTGTGGTGCACACACACGCACATTGTGCTGAAGCAGCGGATGTGGTGCACGTATGCGATGTGGTTCAGACGAGCGCCGTGGTGCACACGGATGCCGTGGTGTAAACGAGCATTGTGGTGTACACAAGCGTTGTTGTGCAAGCAGATGCCCTTGCAGTCACAGCCATGGTGTACAACGGTTTATCTGGTGTACGCAGTATATGTTGTGCACGAAGGGCGGTATTGTGGGGTACGCAGGCAACGCGGTTTCAACACGCGCTGAGGTGCACACAGGCATTGTGGTGTACACAGGCGTTGTGGGCCTAGGACATAGGGGGACCGTACCTTGGGCCAGAAAGTCCAATATTGACAGATAACCAACATTTTGAGTTTGATATGTTCGGTTTCTTGCGATTTTCTGGACATGGGGCCCGTCGGTTCCTTGAAAGCGTGCGCAGGATTTGTGGTGCGCACAGGCACGATGGTGTACAGGCGCTGTGGTGCACACACGCACACACATACATGGTGCTGACGCAGCGGATGTGTTGCACGCAGGCGATGTGGTGCGCACAGGGGCTATGGTTCAGACGAGCGCTGTGGTGCACACGGCTGCCGTGGTGTACGCAAGCATTGGGGGGGTACGCAAGCGTTGTTGTGCAAGCAGATGCCCTTGCAGTGGCAGCTATGGTGTACAACGGTTCATCTTGTGTACGCAGTGTATGTTGTGTACGAAGGGCGGTATTGTAGTGTACGCAGGCAACGTGGTGTAAACACGCTGTGGTGCACACAGGCACTGTGGTGTGCACAGGCATTGTGGTGCACACAGGCGTTGTGATGTACACAGGCGTTGTGGTGTGAACCAGCAGTGTGGTGTACACAGGCGTCATGGTGTGCAGAGGCGCTTTCGTGTACACACCTACGTTGTGCTTAGTTTTCCGTGGCAGATTCCTACCTGCATGCTAGTTCTAGCTGTCCTTGGCTATTCATGGACAGGGCGAAGTTTGACTTTTTCAGGGTAGGAGTAGGGGTGGGGATGTGTGAGGGTTGTGCCGGTGACGGCCGTTATCGCGGGAGAGAAAAACAGGCTCCAGGGGGGCTTTACACCATATCTGGCATTCCTCATGGAGAGACGTTGGGTGGCGGGCGAGGGGGAATCGGATCGGCGGGTGTAGTGATGGTCTTTGACAGGAGAGTGATGGGTCAGCACGTGCTGTCGCCGGGCTGGCAGGCGGTCTGCTGGTCCATAGCCTGCCTTGTCATCGCCGCGAACGTCTACCTCGTCATTCAGCAGGTCGCGGAGAGCTCGTGGCTCGCCTGGCTGCTGATCTTGCTGGCATTCGGGGCCTACCTGTTCTTCATCTCGAAGAAGGAAAGCAGCATAAAAGATAAACTTTGGGAGATCCGCGCGAATTCCTTGGATCGGCATTGTGCCCCTCTGGCGCGGCCCCTGGCGCGCCCCGCGCGCCAGGTAGGAGGGTCCAGCGCCGGTTCAAGAAATCCGCATAGACCTTCGCAATGTCATGTTTATGTATGTTTTTTGGTTCTTCTGCCGTCAGCATCATTATCCGTTCGGACCTGGAGAAGTTCGTCGCCGCCTGCAGGCGCCGGCAGTCGAGGGACGCTGCGCCCAGGGTGGAGCAGACGGAGGTGGCCGCGGTGGGCTGAGGAGTTGTGTTGCTGTTCCCCCGCGGGCCCAGGGAGCTGGTCGTGGACCACATTCGAGACATAGATAACGGCATGAACATACACTGCCGGAGTCCGCGCGGATTCACTGGGCCCCCCTGCGCGCCAGAGAGGGAGTCCATCGACGATCCACGGAATTCGCGCGGCCCTTCGAACGTTTATGTTTGTGCAGCTGTTTCTCCCCCTACACGTGCAGGGCATTGTCGGTAAGACGAGCCTCTCTCGGCAGGCCTGTCCCACAGGGGCATATCCGTCGTGACCTTCCGCGGCGGCAGCTCCTCTTGGTTGCCACGAAGGACAGGAGGGGTCTGAGGGAAGGGGCTCCCCTGCTCTGCGCCATTCTTCTTCGGCCTCCCGGGGGCCTCATCCTGGGCCCCCTTAGGAGATTCAGAGGACGGCTCAGGACGAAGAGCTGTTCCAAGGGAAAGCCGCGGGGGTTCGAGGCCCGTTTCCCCCAGGACCCCTCCTCCCTCTGGGAGCTGAGCGGGTGGTTGCGGCTGGGTTGTGCGTGCAGGTGTCTGATTTTCCACACTCAGCCGGGTGCAAGCGCGGCCTTTTTTATTCTAGGTCTTCTAGGTGGGGTCCGAGTAGATGGGGTCGGAGGATTGCGCCGCATTGGCGATGCATCGGCGATGCGGCCCGAAGTGGAGCCCGATTTTCTCCACGCCAGCGTCGCCGATACTTCGCCGACGTCGCCGATGTATCGCCGATGCATCGGCGATGCATCGCCAATGCATTGGCGATGCGGCGCGATCCTCCGAGCCCATCTACTCGGACCCCCATCTAGAAGCCCTCCGTGTATTTCGTGCCAAAGTGAGCCAGTCCTCTGAGGAGGGGGCCGCCGCTTCCAGCAGATAAAGGAGTGGAGTTGTAAGCAGGCCACGGCAGCTCTGCCTTGGCACGCAGGGGTGGGCGTGCCGAGTACTTCCGCTTGCCTACTCAAGCATACAGTTGGAAGACTGGGCACGGTTTCCGTAGTGACTCCGTACAGTGAAGATTGGGACGTTCTGCCAAGGACTCCTGCGCGACACTAAAAACAAAGATATGACATATCATTGCGAACGGGCTCGTCGTCGGGACACGAATCTCTCGGGTAATCAACCCGAGACGGATATCAGGCTGAGTGAGGCTGACCCCGCCAACGTTGCCAGCTCCGCTTGGTGTGAGGGCGCTGCCGCTAGCAGTGCGTAGTCACACTGGCTGCTCGCGAGGTGGTGATTGGGGTGTCATTACGCTGCTGTTCGCTTTGTCTTGACGAGCAAACAACGCACACCCATACTCATATGGGGGGTCGAAGGGAGGATAACTACTTATGGGGACATGTGTAGGTTCTCGTATATTGGGGGGGCTCCTGTTCTAGAGGGGACCCCCATCCGACGGCACACCACGCCCGTAGCCCTCTCCGTCCTCCCTATGGATATGGGTGTGCGTTGTTCGGTCGTCACGTTATGGTTCTGCTTTGAGGTGGTGACGGCGGTGATCTGTACTGTTCCTGGCTTCCAGTCGTGAGGGAGGGGCGATGTGCTGACCCATAGTAGTTTTTCCCCAGGCCGCTGTTTGTCCGCTGTGCAGGGCCCCGAGACGTTTGTTTGCGAGGCAGTTCGTCTGCCTGGCGCTCTCTTTCCGGGCGGGCCTCCGTGGTCCTGGCGGCGCGTGCGGCCGACGGGGCGCGCGACCGAACGTGCGCCGATGGCGCAGGAAACGTAAGGCTCTACGCGCACAGGGGCCCACGCTTGTCGCACCGACGAATTGTTCGGGGCGCGCGCGCGCGCGCTGGCAGCTCTTTCGACATGCGTTCAGCACCATTGCCCGTGCCCCAGGCCCCGCCCGCGACCTGCCGACGAGCCGCCCGCGTCCTTGTCGCGACCTCCAGGCGAGACGCTCGCAGCGGCGCCGTTCGGGCACATGGCGTGCCAGATGTGGACCGTCCCGCCCGCCCTGCCCGCTCCGTCTTCAGGCCTGGCCTCCTCGAAACCTACCCGCACCTGCGAGGCTTGGGGGCAGCGCACACGTCAAACAGGAACCCTGCTTTCCAGCAGGTGCCCCACAGGCTTGTGGGGCACATTCGATCGGTGAACCTTAGTCGTCAATGGCCAGATCGACGAGAAATGTGTTCTCAGATGCATGATAGCGTGATGTTCTGTCGAGCGAGATCAATACCCACACTACAGAGATCGCATCAGATCGTTCTACTTTCGAGTTGCATCCCTCGTCCACCTGCCCCTCGCCCCGACGCGGCCAGGCGGCGAAGACGTGCGGCCTTCAGCAGGCCGCTCGGGCGGGGGTGATTAGGGGGAAGCGAAGGAAATGGAGACGGATGAGGAGGAGGAGGGTGCGATGCGGAGGAAAGCGAACAAGGAATGAGGATGCGGCTGAGGAGGAGGAGGAGGAGGAGGAGGAGGATGAGGAGGAGGAGGACCAGAGGAATGCCCGAATGCGTCAACAATTCTGCAATACTCGCTACCGTCCCAAGCCTTCGCCTCCTTTTCTTTACAAGCTTTCCATTTCGCTATAGATATCAAACGCCTCCCTTGGAAGACGAGCACCCTGTGACATGGCTCCGCGAGCCTGCCACCGCGACAAGGCGGCGAAGTCGTGCGGCCTTCCGCAGGCCCGTTCGGGCGGGATCGGAAGCCAGGGACGAGGGAAGGCTGAGGACCAGAACCGTCTACACCAGCAGCGACGAGAACGCCGAAGCCTCCCCAGACTAACAGTACTGACATCTACATCGACGCCCTGACGATGACCGCATGCAGCATGGCTGGGGGCACTTCGAGTGAGGCGTCACTATGGACTCCAGCACGCTGCACCCCACGACCTCAAAGGAGTGCAGGTGTACATTGTGCAACACGCCGGGTATCCAGCGCGCGGCAGGGCCGGTCCACCGTCCAGCACGCTGCAATCCGCGTCCGGATCCTGCACCGCAAGCGCCTACACCATCGCCGACGCCAGCACCGACTCCAGCACGGGGGCCAGCGCCTACACCAGCGCCGACGCCACCACCGACGCCAGCACACCGAACGGTGAGCTGCCCGGCGCACGGGTGTCCCAAGAGCGCTAGCGCTCGGCGGCGCCTTCTCCAGCGCCGACGCCAACACCCACGCCAGCATCAACGCCTGCGCCTGCGCCAGCACCAGCAACAGCGCAAGCGCCTACACCAGCGCCGACGCCAGCACAGATGCCAGTACGGGCGCCAGCACCTACACCAACGCGGACGCCACCACCGGCGCCAGCTGCTCGGCGCAGAGGTGCCCAAGGCACGCACGCTTGTTGCGACTACGCCAACGCCGACGCCAGCACCGACGCCAGCATCAACGCCTGCGCCTGCGCTGGCACCATCGCAAGCACCTGCACCAACGCCGACACCAGCACCGACTCCAGCACGTGCGCCAGTCCCCGCACCAGCGCTGACACCAGCGCCGACACCAGCGCACTGGTGAGCTGCGCGGCTCACTGGTGTCCCAGGTGCGCACGCTTGCTTCTGCGCCGGCGCCGACGCCAGCACCGACACCAGCAGCAACGCCGGCACCGACGCCGGTACCAACGCAAGCGCCCATGCTAGCGCCGACGCCAGCACTGACGCCAACATGAGCACCAGCGCCTACACCAGCACTGCGGCCACCACCGACGACAGCGCGCCGGTAAGCTAATCACCCGGGCCACCGGTGTCCCAGGAACGCACGCCGGCGCCTACGCCAGCGCCGACGCCAGCGCCAGCATCACACTTTTTTGGCACCGAAATTCGTGACATGTTCGTTGCGTCCTGATTTGCAGATGCGGATGCTGGCTCCGAAATTCATGACATGAACGATGCGTCTTGAAGCTTCTGCGGATCCAGCGCAGAGTCTAAATGTCAGGGAGTTGGTGCGTCACGGAATTCTGCCCCACCTATCTTGTGACGCTACGCCTGCGTCAGCGCCGACACCAGTACCAACGCCAGCATCGATGCCAGCGCCTCCACCAGCACCAACGATGGCGCCGACGTCAGCACCGACACCAGCACCGACGCCAGTACTTGGGCCTGCGCCTACGCCGGCACCAACGCCAGCGCCTACACCAGCGCCGACGCCAGCATCGACGCCAGCAGCAAGGGTGCACCAGTGAGCTGCCCAGCTCACCGGTGTTCCCTCCAGCCTGGTCGCTAGTACCAGTCCCAACACCAACCCCGACTCCCCCACTCCGACGTCCAACACCGACGCCGGCACCGACGCCAGCACCAACGCTACGCCAGCAAACATGCTAGTGCCGATGGCAGCATCGACACCAGCACCGACGCCAGCATTGCAAGCGCATGCAGCAGCGACAACGCCAGCACCGACGCTAGCACGAGCACCAGCGCCCACCCCAGCGCCGACGCCAGCCCCGACACCAGCGCACCGGTGAGCTGCGCGGCTCACCGGTGTTCCAGGAGCGTACGCTGGAGCTTACGCCAGCGCCGACGCCAGCACCGACACCAGCATCAACATTTGCGCCGACGCTGGCACCAACGCAAGCGCCTACACCAGCGACAACGCCAGCACCGGTCCGTGAGTGGCACGTTTGGTCCGCCCCACCGCCTCCCCCTGGGGGCCCCACGCCCGGGATGGCAGGGGACCGCTCCGTTCTCCCCCCCTCCTTCTGCTGCTGCGGCCTCCTCCCTCCCTCCTCTTCCCCTCTCCCCTGTCTCCCCCTCCTTCCGCTGTTGCGGCCCCCTCCCTCCTTCCTCTTCCCCTTTTCTCCCGTCGTCGTCGTCGCCGCCGCCGCCTCCGCCGTCGTCGTCGTCGTCTTCGTCGTCGTCGGCGTCGTCGTCGTCGTCGGCGTCGTCGTCGTCGTCGCCGTCGTCGTCATCGTCGTCGTCGGGTGCGGTCCTGCCTTCCTGGGGCTTGTGGCCCCCTCTGGGGGGATGGCGTCCGATGGTAGTGGTGCGGTGCTCCGTCCCCCCGCCCCTCGCCTCCCGCGTTTGCTTTTCCTTCTCCTCCTGTGTCGATCGGTCGCGCGTGATTTAATTTTTACAGTGCAGGCGGGCTCTTTGCCCAGCTCGGGGCGCCCGCCCACTCAGAAGCCTCTGCCCCTCCGTTCCGCGGGGGTGGACGCCGCTAGTGGCTTCGGTGCGCCACGATCGTCCTACCAATCCCCTTCTTCAGTGTTCCTTGCTCCTGATTGGGACTGTTCGTACTGTCCGAGTGTGGATGGCCCGCCAGTGGGGCCCTTGGCTGTGACTTGACGTCCATGATATCGTTTCTCCGGCGCCCTGTCCCCTTTCTCGTTTCTCTTTCTTTCTTTTTTTTTTTTTCTCTCTCTCTCTCTCTCTGTATCCTCTCTCTCGGCTTCTCCTCCCTCCTTCTGCGCCTCCTTCTGTGGCCAGTGCTTTATTTTTCCTGGCATGGGCCAGAGTTTAAAGCAATCGGCGTGTGGGACAGCCGAAATGTTGGCGGCGGAGCTACCCTCACTCCCTCCTCGGCCTCCTCCTCACCATCATCCTCCTCTTTGCGCATGCGTGTGCATTACTTTCCCGCGCACGGCCGGGGCCGACGTCGCTCCTGCCCGTGCTGCCGCCTCGGCCTAGTGCTGTTGGCCGCCGGCCGACCCCTATGGCTACACCGCGTCGCCGTGCGCCGTCGGACGCCGAAGAAGAGGACGCAGACCAGATCGCGCCGTGAAAAGGGAGAAACAAACAAACGGACGACCACCCCATGGGCCTGCCATTCAGGCGAGAACCCCGCTTCATGAGCAGGCTGACGCACGTCGGTTGGGTGGACAGGTCTGGATCTCCAAGCGCTGAGCGTCACAGGGGTGTGGGCGGGGATGAAAATACCAGCGGTCTCTGGTTTCAAGCTCAGAACCAGCTCAACGAGAAGACAGATTGGGGAAGGTTCGGGAAGGTTCAAGTCAAAGTTGCGTTTGGGCACGCGACAAAGGGCATCCAGCACCTGAATGTTCACGTCAAGCACGTTGGCCATGCCGTGTTTGCGGTCGGGGGCCTGTAGGAGAAGATGGCCGCAAGAAGGCGGCTGAGCGTTCACTGGCGTGTATTCGCCATACCGCTGATCTTCAGGCAACCGCCCCGAGTGAGCAGGGTGTGGCCGCATCCTCGGCTGCAGAGGCGAGCTCCGCCTGGCAGCATTCGGTTCCGTGCCCTGGCTTCCGGGTCCCGTGGCACTCTTCGCCGCCTTAGCGGCATTGCCTGGGGGTGCCGGGGTGCCTCCGTCCTCTCGGCCGCAGGGCCTGCGGACTATACGTGGCCTCCTCGCACGGTCCTGCGGCGGCGCCCCGGGCCACGGCGGGCGTCCCGGGGGGCTTCGCCCCCGGCCGGAGAAGTGCTCCGAGGCCCTCGCCGCCCCTCTCGGAGGGAGGCCCCCTGCTGAGTCAGCTCGGCGGCAAGCGAGGCGGCGAAGTGAGAAGGAGAAGTCCTTTTCGGAAGGCTCGGAAGTTCCCTGGCCTCGTGGAAAGTGTTCTAAGCCGTCCCCGCAGACACTGGACAGTTCTCAGAATGCCGGGGGGCTTCTGAAGAAGCCTTGCGGCCTTCTGAGAAGGCCTTTTCCTCCTCACTTCTCCCCCTCGCTCGCCGCCACTCAGCGCTTGCGCTGGGTTTTCTGTTTGACATGTATCCCGCGGTATTACATTGTGACTGCGACGTTTTCTTCGACTTCGGCTTCCGGGGCCCCGTCGTCGGGCTCCAGGGCCTCCAGGAACGGATGCCCTTTGAGGGCCAGGCCGCGCATCGAAAGCGCGCGCGAGGCGGCATGCGTCCACTACGTTTCTGCATCGATCCTGGCGAGGCCACTCCTGCGCACAGGATCAGTGTAATCACACTTGCCCTCCCTTCCCTCCCATATTGGGCTCAGAGCGGGCATGCCAAAGATCCTGCCAGGATCCCTCCCTCATCACTAAGACCACAATATGTGGTTGAATCGTTAAATCCGCACCCTGCCCCCGCTCAGGAGAACCGATGGTTGGCGGGGGTAGGGTTCGGATGTCGCCACCTGCTTTTCTGGGAATGTCTGTCCGCACAGAATGCCCTCCCCTGAGATCCGACGACGCGACGAAACTGGCGAAATCGCGCGAATTCACGACCAGAGCCCCTGAACTATTCTTTCTGCTGCACTTTTCGAGCTGGATCGATCTGTAAGGGTCCCAGGGCTCATCGGGATGCGGAGACGCCCAGCTCGAGCAAATTGCGACGCCAGGATCTCGGGGGCCCTCCGCGGCAGGCGGCGAGCGAGGCGCTGCTGTCCTGGGCGCGCGAGCCGGGCCTGCAGGCGGCGAACCGGTCGGGCCCGCGCGGCCGCCCCCCTCCGCCCGCGGAGCCCCAGCTGGCATCGGAGGAGGGCCGGCCGACACAGGTGGCGGGCCTCCCGCCAGCGTTCCTCGTTCCGGCTCTCAGTGTCGTTGTAGCGGGTCCTTCTCAACCCCTGCCGATCATATCCCGACCCCCACCATCCCACCACCCCAGTTTGGGGATGGATGCCCTTCGAAGCTCGAAAGGAAGAGCCTACATCCCCATCCAGGATCTAGGGCGAGGTAAATCGCCCAGTGGGGCCACGCTACGCCAATGGGGGCAGGGATCGGTTCCCAGCCCCCCGACGACATGATTTTTCCATAACGTCGAACCGCATAGGTAGTCTCGACCCATTCCTCGGGATCAGTTTTTCATCCCGAGCCGTTTTTTGACGGTCCCGCGGACCGAGAAAGGCCCCCAGAGGCCGAAAATCTCCCGTCATGATTTTTTCATTATTCGAGGGGTCCGGGTTAAGCGATGCCCATGGCGGGAGCGCGGGATGAGCCGGGTCTGGGCAGGCCCAGCGCGGGGTTTGGTGCCCGGGCCAGCCGCCTCGGGCGGCGAGGAACCCTGTAGAATCGGCTGGGGGTCTGGGGTGGCTCAGCATTGGTTCTGGCGAGCAGGGAGGTCGGGCGAGGTTCTCGGTTCGACAAGGCTTTTTGCCTTTCGTGGCCTCCCGGGGCCGTTTTCGGGCCCCGGGATTGTCAAAAACGGATCCGGGGTGAAAAACTGCGGACCTTGGGAGGGGTCCAGGGACCGATTTTGACCAGATTTGTCCTTGTCCCCCCTCCTTAATCGATTTTTCGATATCCATCCAGTTCAGACCCCCGGCAGCCTCCAATGTGCACCACCGTGAGACATCACGACCCGAGCCCTTCCGTAGCCATTTGGGCTCAAGCAATTTGATTTCGAGTTTTACCGAATGTTCTGTTTCACACATCTCTGGCTCTCTGCCTGCACGCTTGATTGAGCATGTCTCGAAGCGGCGACATACCTCGCTGGTACCGCGACGTGAAGTGCGGCCGCGAGTTGGATGACGAGGATGATTACTTTGGGGATGGATATTTTGGATCGAATGGCGACGCTATGCACACAAGTTTGCGCAGACGCATGAGTCATTCATGCGTCTGGTTATCGCCGATTCAAAAAGAATGGTCTCGTGACGAGAGAGCGGGCGAGGAAGATGGTCCCTGTTTGTCCTTTTTTTTCGACTTCACCAATACCAGCGCCATCGATCGCTTCTACGAGGCAGGTGGTTGGGCTGCGTTTCCAGATCTTGTGATCGCGCGCATCGACGTCCGCCGTGTACGATGTTGACGTGGTCAGCGGCACCTTCAAGCTCAACTTTGCTCTCTGTATGCTATCCTACGATTCTAGCCAAGAGGACGAGCCGCCATTACTGGTCGCCGTCTCACCGAAAGTAGCCAAGGACAAGTACATCATCACAACCGTTTGCAACCTCCTCGCCGATCGAACCGCGAACGCACCCGGGAAACTACGTCTATGAGCAATGGGGATTCCTCAATGAGGTTGAGTTGTTTGAAACATATGAGCTTCAGCAGTTCCCGATGTGCAGGACTGCACCGTGTACGTCAATGTGTTCCATGCATCAAGTGGTGCACCGGTTCTGCCCGTGGCGGGTCTCAACAACAGTGCCGTGTTGACCTACTGGGAGTTCTTGACCCCGATGTCGACGTCATCAACGATGGCAAGACTTTCGTGCTGCGCCTCCGTCTTCAGCGCAAGCACACTTGGTCCGTGGTCAACCACATGGCGGTGGTTGGCATGCTCACCACACTCGCCTTGTACGTCCGCGGGATCGACCAAGGCGATTCAGCTAACCGATCGACCGTGATCTTCACGCTGGTGCTGACAGTGACAGCGGCACAGCTCGTGGTCGCCGACCACCTGCCGAAGCTGCCATATCTCACTTCGCTGTGTTGATTGCCGTGCTCGTCGAGAACTTCGTCGTCGATTACCTGATCCTTGATGAGGAGGGATGCGTTATCCTGCCAGAGATTTCCCAGGACTCGCCGGATGCCACTTTCCTCCTTGGACTCGCACTGCTCTGGCTGACCTTCAACGTCATCATCGTGAGGCGCGTCCGCCGAAGGCTCACCGAGATCCGCAACGCGTTTGGCGAGCCCGAGAGGCAGCTTCCGTCTGGTCTACCCGCCTCAGCCGTTGCGCACAATAGCGAGAGCCAAGTGCGCACACAGGTCCTGTACCCACGCCGCTGAGACCAGAGCTGGGAAAGGAAGAGAGATAGCAAGCGTGATCGCAGCACGTCAGCCCAGGGCTCGGGGCGAGCAAGCAAAAAGTGTCCCGAACCCCAGGGATCCGTGAAAAAGGGGAAGGGTGCTCGACCTCCAGGCTCGCGCGAGGTGCGCCTGCCAGCTCGGACCAATCGGGTGGCTATCTGGAGGACCCCAACGTCATGTTTTTTTCACAACGCGGACCCCTGGAGGTCTCGGGCCGTTCCCCCAGGGACCCAGTTTCTCATCCATCGTTTGTTGATGGCCCCGGGTCCCGGCGAGGGTGCCCAGAGGCTGAAATCGTCGAAAAGCCTCCGTCTTGATGTTGTTTGGATGCGTTGCAGCTCTGGGAAGGTGCGCATGCAGGGTCCATTTCGATCCGATCGATCCGATTCGATGTCGATTCCGACCAGCCCCATCCGTTTCCCTCCAGATGTTCCGACGATCTGATGCTGCCCGATGCTCGCAAGACGCTGTTGTACATCCTGGCGCGGCCGATCCGATCCGATTGCGATTCCGTGCCGATGCAGCCCGATTCGGCGCACATCTGAGGCATTTCAGAAAGGGCCTTGCCTTCGAGGACCGAAGGAGTTTTCATCTCCTTCTCGGCTGAAAAGGCGGCGGAAGGGCGGCGGAAGCCCGCGGAAGTAAAACGAGGGCGCGTCCTCCGGCGGAAGCCGGCGGAAGGCAGGCGGAAGGCGGCGGAAGCAAAAGATGCGCCCCCAAGAGATGGCAACGTTTTTTGGTCTGGGGTCTCCGGAGCCGGCCACGTCCCCCCTTGGGTCGCGCACGCGCCTCGGGCTATGATTTGCGAAAACCCCTCTTGGACGACCCCTTCCATGGACGCCCCCCAGACAGGTTGGGGCTGTTAGATCTGAAGATGAGGGCACCCGACCCGCCTCGCACACCCTGCATCTACCCAGACCCACGAAGTCATGGTCTTTGATTTCGTGAGCCCCCACGGGTCTCGACCCGTTCCACGGGACCGGTTTTTTATCCCGAGCAGGTTATTGACGGTCCCGAGGCCGCGCAAGGTCCCCAAGAGGCCGAACATAGCCTAAACCTTTCCGTCGTGATTTTTCCATTGCCCGAGAGGGCCTGGGTATCGCGGCCGCCAGGCCCAAAGTGTGTCGGTGCTGCCCGTCGATCCGATCTCCCATCAGCCGATCCGATGCCGGCGGACCCTGGCATGCCAGCCCGGGCCAGTCGGGTGGCCGTGCCAGCCCGCCCCGCGGGCGGCCGTTTGGGCACGCCCCCCCCTTGGGGCCTTCGTGGGACCCACTCGGGAGCCTCAGCTCAGAAGAAGAGAAAGCTCTACAAGCAGAACAATTTTCGGAGCTCCGCGCGGATCTCTTGCATCTGCGCTGGACCTGCCTCGCTGTTGCGCGGAGCGGGCAGCGCTGGAGCCGCCGCCAGGGGAGCTCAGCGCAGAGCCAAGAACTCCGCGCGGAGCTTCGAATGTTAAATATTGTATGCAGTTGTTCGTCTTCTACTAGCCCTCTTGCGACCATCTAGGAGGACATCGATCAAAGAAGGGGGTCTCAATTAGCGTCGCCCCCCTAGAAGGGCAAATTGTGTCCAACTCCTGCAGAAAATGAATGACTTGTGCCTCTTCGCTCCAACGCCAGACACCCGATGTCGTGATTTTTCATGACGTCGACCCCCACAGGTCTCGCGGCTGTTCCCCCAGGACCAGTTTTCCATCCTGAGTCGTTTTTTGACGGCCCTGGGGCCGGGTGGGGGCCCCGAGGGGCTGAGCGTAGCGACAGAATTTCCGTCGTGATCGTTTCATGGTTCGATGGAGAGTCCGGTAGCAAATCATGGGAGCTTCGCATGTCCTCTCAAGTCCGAAATCAGGGTGCATCCGTGTGCGCTGACGTGTTTGGCCATCGGCTAGACAGCGCCGAGTCAGCGTCGATTCAGCATCGACTAGAGTCGACTAGAGTCGACTGGCGTCGATCAGCGTCGATTCGCAAGAGCCAACACGATGGCATGGGCCTCCCGCGAGCTGCCGCAGAGAGGGGTCATGGGACCCCCCCCGCTGGCGAGGCCGCGCCCCGGGGCCCGCAGCTGCAGGCCCGGCAGCTCGGCGGCGCGGGCGGGCTGCCTCCGGGCTGGCAGCGCCGGGCCGACGACCTCGTGCCGCCGCGGCCCGGGGGCCTGCTGCAAGCCGCGAGCTCAGGGTCGGGGGCGGCCCAGCCGACCCCCAGCAGACCAGCCCCTTCCGTGGCGTCCCCCTCGCCTCACCCCAGGACGTACGTGTGCGGCCAGAGGGTGGCCTGGAGGGCGCGGGGGACGTCGCGGAAGGTGCTCGTCACGGGAGGGGTCGGTTAGGCCGCCCCGACAGGGGGGGGCGCCGCAGATCAGAGGAGGAAAGGGTTCTGAGATCATTTCTGCTACCCTTGCCTCTTGGACCCGGCTGGCAGTCCGAGGTGGCCCAGCATTGGTTCCGTCGAGCAGGAAGAGGGGCGAGGTTCGAGGTTCTGGGTGCGAGAAGGTTTTTGTTTTTTTTCGGACTCTGGTGGGGGGCCCAGGAAAGTCAAAAACGGGCCTGGGGTGAAACTGATTCAGATGGACTCCAGGAGGAGTCAGGGACATTTTTGTTACCAGATTTGCCATTACCACTTTTCTTGACCGATTTCCTCGGGGCCCATCAAGATCAGACCCCTCCAGCCGCCTCAAATTGATACCGCTACCCTTGCCTCGCTTGTGTCTTTCATGGGCCCCCTGTGAGGCCCTCGCCACCACTGTTGGAATCGCCGCGAGATTATGGTCCGAGCGCAGCCCGGGAGAGGTCTGGGGAGTAGCGGTATTGGTACCTCTGTGTGTCTGGGGGGTAGCGGTTTCGGTACTTTTGCGTTTATCCGGAACAGGCACGAATATCTCTCTTCGATGTCGGCCCTGAGGAACAGCTTAGGAGTTTTCCCATCCACAAATCGAGAGCCCATGTTTGAATCAGCAGCGTCGGAATTTCGGGAGACCATGTCTGGCCCTGGGACAAAAAGACTAACACATTATCTGCGAGGACAAACCTGCCTCCAGGTGAACGGTCGGGACCTCCTTGGGGCCGCGGATGGAAACACGCTCCAACAGGGCCTCGCCGAGGGATCGAGGGGTCGAGAGGTGTCCTCCTCGGCGGGAGGTGGCAGACGCTCTGCCGAAGACAGCGGAAGTAAATGTTGCGCCCTCTGGAGACTCAACCTTTCTTTGACACAGGGTTTCCGGAGCCCGTCGCATGTCATCACGGTAGGGGGCGAATTTTTTGGGGGGCGATCAAGTGGTGGGGGAGAAAGGTGCCATTCTCGGGCCTTGGATGCCCCCTCCGGGGCCCTACATCGGCCCAGTGCAAGTTCTTTGAATTTACGTCACATCGCTTGCTCGCGGAAGCCGACGGAAGTACAACGAGGCGGAGAACGGCGGAAGGCCGCCGGAATGGTTGCGGAAGCGGGAGTAAATGAATTCATAAACAGGGGATTCAGAGGATATCTGTATAGCGTGCATAGCGAGCGTGCCGCCAGCGTCTAGCTCGAGGTGCCGGTGCCCAATTTGCGTGGACCGGTAGAGGATCTTACGGTCCACCATCGTACCGAAAACAAAACCCGATCAGTCTTCTTGTAGCAGTGCATTCTACATAACCCTTGGTAAGGAACTGAGAGAGATTGTGAGGGGCGGGTTCGCTCCGCAGTCGTTGGTTCAAAACCATCTAGTCATGGTAGCGGAGCGTGGTTCATTGCGATCCAGCGGCAACCTTTCCACATCCTCGGGCGCGGGGCGCCCCGATAGCGACGACGAGTTTTCTGAGAAAGCTGATCGGCGTGTGGTTCGGCGCAGCAGGCGTGACTGGTCTGCGCACGAACAGTGGTGGAGAGTTTGCGAGCAGCTCTGGAGAATCAGACGGCTTCAGCGCTACTGGGGCCACGTTGGGCAACTACTTCAGAGAGTATGTGCCAAGGAGCTGCGTGAGAGGGTTCGACTGTGTCTTACACCGTCGAGACAATGAGCACGCCAGAAGAGCAGCTGCAGCAGTTGACAGCACAAGTGAGAGAACTCATGACAGAGTTGACGAGGCAGAGGGACCTGATGAACACGGTCCAGGCCCAACGAGTGCAGGACCTCGAGGCAATGACCAAGCTGCAGCAGACGATCATCCTGGAGAAGGAAACGACCAAGAGGAAGGTGCAGTTGGTAGACGTCAAGGGTATTGGCAAGCCGACGGTCTTCAACAGCGACATGAAGGCGTGGGGCGGCTTGGCTTTCAAGTTGACCAATTTCCTGGAGAGTGTGACGACGGGCATCAAGGAGGCCCTGAACTACGTCCAAGATCAGGAAGAGCCGCTCACGAGAGAGAACTTAGACGAGATCGGGGAGATCTTCACCTTAGAGCACGAGGACACGGACATCAAGACCATCGGCCGGCAGCTGTACACGGTGTTGGCTCAGCTCTGCGATGGCGAAGCTCTGGATCTAGTGCAGGCGACGAAGGACAACGACGGGTTCGAAACTTGGCGTGCGATAGCGAGGAGGTTCGACCCACAAGGAGCTGGCAGGAAGCGCAACATCCTGGGTTCGCTAATTCAACCGGGAGCGGTCGACGCCCCGCAGCTGAACAGCCACATAGCCAAGTGGGAAGAGCGGGTCCGCGTCTACGAGAGGCGGGCCAGCCATGCAAGGCAGGAGGACATCAAAGCGCAGGTGCTCGTGAGCATGACAAAGGGCGTTCTCAAGGACCACCTGGTGCTCAACGCGAACAAGCTCAAGACGTACGTGAGTGTGCGCGAGGAGATCCAGAGCTACTTGGAGTCGAAGGTGAACCACCATGCGACCCCCATGGACGTCGGCAGCCTCAACCAGAAGGACATCACCTGCAACAGCTGCGGCAAAAAGGGCCACAAGAAGGTCGACTGCTGGATGCCAGGCGGAGGTGCACACAAGGGCACCCAGAGCCCGAAGGGCAAGGGCAAGGGCGACAGCAAGGGCGGCAAGGGCAAGAGCAAAAGCAAGGAGAAGACCAAGGGCAAGCCGTCTTCGCCCTACCCGCCTCGGCAGCGACCAGGTGGACAGCAAGGCCAGCACCAGCAACAACAGCAAGGATTCCCAGGCTACTGCTCACAGTGCTGGGGCTGGGGACACAAGCGGCAGGACTGCCCCGCGAATCGTGGACAGCAAACAGGACAACGCGGCGCCAACAGCCTGGAGGCGAACGACAAGCAGGAACCGGAGACCGAGCAGCCTGGCAACCTCGGTGGGCTGGACCTGTGCACCCTAGAGCTGAATGCGGTGGACGATGCGACGGAAGAATACTTCTACGCAGCAGTGGATTCCGGGGCGGCGGAGAGCGTTGTCCCGAACACCTGGTTCGCGGACGTGCGGGCGAGGCCGACAGTGTCCAGCGAGATGGGCACGAGTTGCCGAGCGGCCAACGGACAGTTGGCGCGGGGCGAAGGCGAGAAGGTCATCGAGGTCGTGACGGAGGACGGCAGCACAAGGCGACTCGTGCACGTCGACAGGAGTGCACCGCATGCTGCTGGCGGCGTCGAAGCTGGTGGAGAAGTGCCACGAGGTTTACTTTGGGCCGAAGGAGTGCTACCTGAAGCACCTCGCGGCCGGCAGGAGGCTGCCGATCCACATCAGACGTGGAGTCTACACCCTCAAGCTGAAGAGGGTCAGTGGCCAGGAGAGGAACGCCCCAGACATCAGCGCGATGTCGGGGGACAGTCGGCGGGCTCAGCCGTGAGACCGAACACCGAGGACCCTCCTCGGCGAGAAGGTGGAAGCTCAGCGGCAGCGCCGGCGGCGGCGGAACCCGTGGAGCCCACGCTGGAGGACGAGGAGGACGACGACGTGGGCGACCCACCGGTTACGGTGGCGCCGCGGCCGTTCGAGCCGACGACGGTCGAGCGGGAGATGCACGTGGCGGCAGGGCGCGCGCAGTTCAGGGCATGGCGCGGAGACTGCGTGGGAGGACGCGGCCGCAATGCTGACCACCGACGACTGGACGCTGAGCGAGAGCATCTAGTCAACGCGATCTCCATTGACTACACGTTCTTCGGTGGAGACGACGAGCGAGCAGAGCCCACGCTGGTGATGCGCGAGCACAAGGGGCGATGGACGGCGTCGATCGCCGCGACGAGTAAGGGGAAGAAGGATGCCTGGATTATCAAGTGGGTGGCGGAGGCCATCGAGTGCACGCCGGTGAAGCACTTCATCTTCAAGATTGACCAGGGGCCGTCGATCCTGGACCTGAAGAGCAAGGTCATCGAGGCGCTGGGTGAAACCTTCAAGATCGTGAAGGAGGAGAGCCCGGTGGAGGAGCACCAGGCTAACGGCGCGATCGAGCGGGCGGTGCAGTCCGCGAGCGGCGTCGCGCGGACCCTGAAGCTGGCGGTGTAGCGCCAGTATGGGATCAAGATCGGCCACGACCATGCAATCGTGCCGTGGCTCATCAACTACGCAGGCGCGGTGATCAGCCTGTTCGACGTCGGGGCGGACGGACGCACGGCGTGCGAGAGGATCCGCGGGAAGAGGTACCGTAAGGAGCTCCCGCCGTTCGTTGAGACGGCGCACTACCTGCCGGCGGACAGGAACAGGGTCCACAAGAACAAGCTGGACGCCAAGTGGTTGACGGGCATCTACCTGGGCGCGCAGCTGAAGAGCCAGGAGCTGCACATCGGCTTGGAGTCGGGAGTGGTCGCGGCCAGGGCTGTCAAGCGGAAGGCCGGAGACGACCGCTACAATGGCGAGCTTCTGAAGAAGCTGCAGGGCACACCATGGCGGCCAGTGCCAGGTGTGACCAAGGACGGGGAGGACGCGCCGGCGGCGCGATTCCCGATCGCGAAGGCGTCCGACGAGGCGCCTCTACCAGTTGAGCCGCGGGCACTGCGGCCGGGGACGGGTGCAGGAGGAGTTCCTGGACCGAGGCGAGTGCACATCCGCAACGAGGTGGAGATCAAGAAGTTCGGGAAGACCGAGGGGTGCGTCGGATGCGAGAGCTACGCCCTGGGCTTCTCAGCTCGCAGCCACAGTGAGGCCTGCAGGGCAAGAATCACGAAGCTCATGGAGGATGACTTCGAGATGAGGAAGCGAGTAAGGATGGCCGAGGAACGGCAAGGAATCAAGGGACCGGCTGAGAAGCAGGCGGTCGACGTGGAGGAGGCAACCGGAGGAGGCAGCGGCAGTGCGCCAT